AAAATACTTAGAGGGTTTGACTTGAGACACCCTTATCTGCACCGAGCATAGAGTACTCATTCATTTCAGAGATTAGTTTAAAGTGTTTAAAGTGGCATAGCTCAGCCTTTGAATCTATTTTCATTACCACGCCTTATATTGCATCTTGACATTTCTGAAACCATGATGAAGAGTGCTAATGAGTAGGTGCAGAATCGGGTCCATAGAAACATAGTAATTTGTGGGTGCAAGCAACCCCCTACCCCCCAATTTTCATATTTCATGAAATTTATAAAAGTTTAAAGACGTTATCATTATTAATTGAATTTATATACCATCCTATACCCAGGGGGGTCTCAGGGCAGTTCACAGAATAAAATCAAGATATAAAACCACAAAATACATAATAAAAACAACAACCCAATAGCGCACGCCCCCACAAAAAAACATTTTAAAAGGGTATGGGATGTTGATCAGGTCAACCAAAAGGCCTGCTTAAAGAGGAATGTTTTTGCCTGGCGCCTAAAGGTGTGTAATGAAGGCGCCAGGCGAACTTCCCTGGGGAGAGCATTCCTCAGACGGAGAAGCCACTGCAGAGAAGGCCCCGTTCTCGTGTTGCCACCCTCCGGACCTCTCAAGGAGGAGGCACACGAAGGAGGGCCTCAGAAGATGATCTCAGGGTCCAGGTAGGTTCATATGGAATGAGGCAATCCTTGAGGTATTTTGGTCCTGAGCCGTTTAAGGCTTTATAGGTCAAAACCAGCACTTTGAATTGGGCTCAGATACTAATCAGTTCGGACCAGGATCGGTGTAATATGCTCAAACCGTCTTGTTCCGGTGAGCAACCTGGCATGACAATGTGCAGCTATAACTGCATACACATTTCTTTGGAACTAAATGCCACTGCTTTCAGTGGTTCTTGCATCGTCTTTTCCCAAGTAAAATGAAGAAGACCGGGTTGCACATCTCTAATTCTTTTACTTGAAAAGATGACGAACAATTGGGCAATAGTCTACCAAGTTGTTCAGTAATAAAAATGAGTGTTAGGCTCTGCATGATGTCTCACCAGGACCAAGGAGATCCAAGGTCAAATCTCCACTCAGCTAAGCAGTTCACAGAGTGACCTTGAACCAGTCGCACACACGCGACCTTGTGAGGGTAAGGACATACATACACATGGGGGGGGGGACTGGTTGTGGGTTTCGGTGTCCAGAATGCCTTCCCCTTCTTACTGAATAACCACAGCTGATCCATACATATGTAGGATTACAAAGGACACTTTCAGGGCAGATGGTCTCCCTTCCAAACAGGTTTTAACTCTCGTCACCTCTGACAAAAAGCTGCAGCCAAAATCAGCTCACCAAATTATGAGAGCAGCATAAATGGATTTGACTTTTCCAGCAATTTTTATACTGGGGCCTCCTCCTCCTTTATTATTTATTATTTATAGCCCTTCCATCTGGCTTGGTTTCCCCAGCCACTGTGGGCAGTTCCCAACAGAATACAGTGGTACCTCGGGTTAAGAACTTAATTCGTTCCGGAGGTCCGTTCTTAACCTGAAACTGTTCTTAACCTGAGGTACCACTTTAGCTAATGGGGCCTCCCGCTGCCGCCGCGCCGTCGGAGCACGATTTCTGTTCTCATCCTGAAGCAAAGTTCTTAACCCGAGGTACTACTTCAGGGTTAGCGGAGCCTGTAACGTGAAGAGTCTGTAACCCGAGGTACCACTGTATTAAAAACATCAAACATAAAAAAACTTCCCTAAACAGGGCTGCCTTCAGTTGTCTTCCAAAAGTCAGATAGTTGTTTATTTGCTTGACATCTGGTGGGAGGGCTTCTACAGGGTGGGCGCCACTACCGAGAAGGCCCTCTGCCTGGTTCCCTGTAACCTCACTTCTCGCAGTGAGGGAACCGCCAAAAGGCCCTCGGAGCTGGACCTCAGTGTCCAGGCTGAACAATGGGGGTGGAGCCGCTCCTTCAGGTATACTGGGCCAAGGCTGTTTTGGGCTTTAAAGGTCAGCACCAACACTTTGAATTGTGCTCAGAAATGTCCTGGGAGCCAGTGTAGGTCTTTCAAGACCACTGTTATGTGCTTTCGGCAGCCACTCCCAGTCACCAGTCTAGCTGCCACAGTCTGGATTTATTTTAGTTTCCGGGTCACCTTCAAAGGCAGCCCCATATAGAGCGCATTGCAGTAGTCCAAGTGGGTTCTTCAGACCCAGAGGCATGGCTAGCTGGCTTCAATGGGCTAGAGAAAGCTGGCACCAGGTGCCAAAATCACAGAAGAGCAGAAAAGACTATTTATGTATGCGACCACAGCTGCACGGATGTTATTGGCCCAGAGATGGAAAGAAGATAAAGTCCCTACCAGAGAAGAATGGCAGATGAAGTTAATGGACTATGCTGAAATGGCTAAAATGACTGGAAGAGTCAGAAATCAGGAAGACCAAAATTTTAATAAGGAATGGGGGAAATTTATAACTTAAACACCATTGTAAACCGTTAAATCGTTAGTAGGATCGGAAGATCACTTGTAGATTAAGGTTGAATTCTGGACATAATGGAAGAGGCAAATGATTTGGAGTATCATAAAAGATGCATAATTCATCATAAAAAAATGATTAATAATAGGACCCACGAAAAGGAGGGTGGAAGTCCAGGAGATTCCTAGGAATCTTGTTTTTATTATTTATGTTTGATATATCTTTGTAAAAGTTTAAGTTGAAAAACCAAATAAATAAATTTAAAAATATATAAATGAATGACTGAAGTGGGCTTGCTGTTTTGGTTGCTGTTGGGATTGTGGTAATTTACAGTCCAGAACGATGACTTCCAAGACTGCGACATTCAAACTACTTCAAATAACTGGCTGGACGACTGGACCAGAGTCATTTGTGGTAAATGAGATTGGTGTGACTGCTGTTGACTGTGCTTTATTCCCTGACTTCTGACAAAAATTCCCCAAACTCTGTGGCTCAATACATTACAAAACCTGAGGCAGAATGAATCAGTGTGTCCTTTATTGGAACCTTGCTGTGCTTTTGCTTCATCCAGAAGAAGCACCTCTCGACTGAACTTTCTGAACCTGTGTGGTATCTTGGTTTGCAGTAATTAGAAAAATTACAGCCTGATGCAGATGGTCGCCAGAGCGCCGCTGGCTTCAGCATGGCTTCCTCCCAAGTGGTGCTCATAAGATGATAGCCTAAGAAGGTGCGCTACTAAGCCTCTTCCAGGTTTTTTTCTGTTTTGGCTCTTGGTATCTCAGAGAAGCAGAACAACAGGGGACACTAGCCATTGTGCAATAGAACAACGAGGACAAAAATCAAATTTGGGATCCTAAAGCAATTTAATTATCCTTTGGGAATTGTCCACATTTCATTAAAAAAGCACCCCCACTGTTCACATGTTAGACTATTCATGCTTAAAATTTTGCCACACCAGTTGCAGCTGCGTTAGATGAAGGCACTTTCCCGCCTTCCAAAACTGGGCTGCATGCCATGCCAATTTTGCCAGGACGCAATGCCACAGCTAGCTGGCTGCTCTGTCACTGTTTCATTTAACCATCTCACCTCTGCTCTGTAGTAAAATGGAAAAGGTAGAAGGGAAAAGCATGGTCTCTTTCACTAGAGGGCAAAGAGGAGGGAGCAGCAAAGAAAAGGAGCGTCTCCTAAATTGGCAAGGCTTTCTCCTACCTGATTTATAAAAAAAGGTAATTTCTCTCCCCCCGCATGCTACTATATATATATATATTTATTAAATCTGCATTAGCATACAGCCATAGCAAAATAAGACAATACAAAAAAAAGTTGGGGACAAGCAACCAGCTACTAAATGAAATGCTACTAAATGGGATGCAAGTGGTGCTGTGCTCTAAACCAGGGGTGGCCAACTCTCAAGGGACTGTGAATATTCTATTTTATTCTACTTTCAGAATAAAAAACTGGCAGTGATCTCAAAGGAAAGGAAGGAAAGCCCCATTTTTTAGGGGCTCAGCACAAAGTTGTTGAGCTTTTTTTAGGGAGGGGAAATTTTTTGGATAAAAAAAAAAGCTTTAGGGATAGACTTCCATTTTGGGGGACAAGGGACATAGGGGAAAAGTCACTCACCAAAAGATGGCTATGGATGAAAACAGCAGCACAAAGAAAGCTCAGTCTTGCCTTCCAAGATCAAACAACAATGGAGGGTGAGGCAAGGGGGCGGGGCAGGAGTCAGTTTTAGCGAAGCCAAGGAAAGGGACCCAGAGATCGACCGCGATCTACCAAAGCCTCGCGGGGATCTACCAGTAGATCGCGACTGACCTGTTGGACATCCCTGCTTTAAACCACTGAGGCTCTTGGGGTTGCCGATTGGAAGGTTGGCGGTTTGAATCCCCACGATAGAGCGAGCTCCCGTTGCTTGGTCCCTGCTCCTGCCAACCTAGCAGTTCAAAAGCAGTCAAAGTACAAGTAGATAAATAGATACCACTCTAGCAGGAACGTAAACGACGTTTCTGTGCATGCCCCAGAAGCGGCTTAGTCATGCTGGCCACATGACCCGGAAGCTGTACGCTGGCTCCCTCGGCCAATAAAGCGAGATGAGCGCCGCAACCCCCGAGTTGTCCGCGACTGGACCTAATGGTCAGGGGTCCCTTTACCTTTACCTATAAAAATGGACTGGATAGCTCAGCTGGTTAGAGCACGGTGCTGATAACGCCAAGGTTGCAGGTTCGATCCCCGTATGGGACAGCTGTTTAGGCTGGACTACAAGATTACTATATGATTTTATGATATATGGATTATAAGTGTGGGTTGGCTGCCTTTGCTAGGCAGTCTTCCTTCCACTAACGAGGAGACTGACCCACACTCACCTGAGTATCTACACTGGCTGCGAATAGAGTGCAGACGTTCGTGTGCACGAATTCTGAAACGAAGCGTGGCAGGTAGAGGTGCGGGCGCGCGGGGGGAGGGGGTTGCCTGCGAGAGCCAGCCCACCATTGCGCCTCTGCAGAAAGTGCGACACAGTCAGGAAGTCTTTTGGAAATCAGAGCCTCTGCAGCAGCCAAAAAAACAGAAGGCGAGAGAGAGAAAGAGGCAGCTCGCGCGCCCTCCCGGGTCCAGATTCCAAAGAGGCGCTCGCCTGGGATTGGCTGGGTCGCTCGCTCTCCAGGGCGGGGATTTGCTAATCTCAGGCGGCGGAGTGTGTGCAACACTGTCGTGGCCCGAGAGGTCCCTTGGAACCGCCGCCAGGAAACCTAACTCTGCGCTCTCTAGGTGTGCGCTCGTGTCCGTTTTGCGCGTACCTTTCCCTGGCCGCGCTGCGCTCTGGAGCAGCCGGATTCGTTGGGGAGAGAGAGCAGCGACGTGCTCCCCCCCCCCCAATTCCGCCGATTGAGATCCCCCTGGTGGATTTAGTAGGGAGGAGATCGGCTCCGGTGCGAGCAGGAGCCATGTGGCACGGCCGGGGTTCCTCGCGAAGGCTTTGAGACAAAAGGCTCCTCGTGGCGCGCGTCTGGATGCGTGTGCTGGTGGCCCCTGGGCCGGAGGGCAGCGCCGGGAGGCCGAGGGATGGCAGCGCGGGGAGGAAGGGCGTGACGCCGAGCCGCAGCTCCGCCGCCCCGCCGGGAACGGCCATCGGCCCCGTGGCGGCACGTGGTAGCCCGCTGAAGCTGCTTCTCTCCCGGCCGGGCGCCCTCGAGTTGCCGCAGCGATGGAGAACTTCTTTCCCGAGGTGAGCGCACGGCTCCTGCGGGGCCGATCCTGTTGCGCGCGTTCCTACGTGGGAAGCCAGCCTCGCCGCCAGGGATGACTTCCTAGCAAAGGCTGTGATCCCCTCCGCGCTTACCTGGGGGTTGTTTGCGATTTACGTCCGAGGAAACCCAACTGTAAATGTGTAATTTGGTTCTTCTGCGGGGTTTGGAGAGGTGAAGGAAACGGCACGTTGTTGGGGGGACGGGAGAAAGAGCGGCTTTGGCGGTTTGTTGTTGCTAATCTCGAATTTTAAAAATATTCAGGTGTGCGATCCGAGTGAAGCGCTTGGGACGGAAGGACGCTTAACTTCCGCCTTGAAAGTAACAGGAATAATAAAGCACCTTGCTGTGGATCCATAGAAAGTAATCGCCCGATAAAAAATGTAGTTTAATGGCGAATTTTGGATGTAATGGAGATGTAAAAGATTTGGGTTATCATAAAAGATGCAGGAGGAAATGACTAATAATAGGACCCACAAAGAGGAGGAGGGAAGTCCAGGAGATTCTATGGAATCTTGTTTTTATGATGGATATGTGATTGTAAAACTTTAATTTGAAAAACCAAATAAATAAATGTATTAAAAAAGAGAAAGTGATTGCCTGGGTTGCACCCGGCATTAACCCCGCCGAGTTCAAAGGGGTTTACTTTCAAGTAAGAATGCAGAGGATTCCAGCCTTAGAAATGTTTTAATCCTTGTGTTGGTGCGTACCCCTGGGTGAGCTGTGTTTCATTTTTCCGAGTGCGCCCCAAAGAGGCAAAGTTGGAAGAATTGCTTCCTTGAGCCTTCTCTTCCCCCCAGAAACACCTCCATAGGTGAATCCTATGGATGCAACGCGCAAACGACAAAAAACTGGGGAAGGGATCTTTGCCGCTGTTAGGATGTTTGATTGCAGAGCGAGGAGTGAGTGGTCGTTTCCCTTTTAAGCCAGGATGCAATCCTGGAGCGGAGGTGAGCGGCTTCCTTTTGTGCGCTTTTTCGCCTTGCGCTCGCTCCCCCTCTCTCGCCTTTGTGCATTTAGGTCAGTAAACCGGGAGGGCATTTTTTTATTTTTTGGCTTGGCCCACGGAGCGCATCTGCGAGCTAAGCGGGGCAGCAAGTCCGCTGCAAGTTTGTTTTGCAACAAGGGCATGTGGTTCTTGTAGAGCGAGATCAGGAATTTCCTTTTGGAAAAACTCGGCCAGGACTTCCAGGGAGAGGGGATTGAGACGGGCCACTCACTGCAGGGGTTTCAGGAGGGCTGCCATGGCAGCACAGCCGTAGGGGAGAGATGGAGGGTTTATTTCATTTTGGTCCATTTCCTCTTTTGTCTTCTGTCCACTTCCTAATGTTGTCCAGATGTCGCCCCCTTTTCTCTTGCAGCTTAAAAGTAATCGCAAACAATGCTGGAAGAATCTGCTAAGATCACATAATGTTCATTGCTGTTCAAATGTTAAGATATTTTCAAAGTGTGTGGTTTGGCATAGGGGGGCTTTGCGGAGCTTCCATTAGAGTAGGGGTCAGCAAACTTTTTCAGCAGGGGGCCGGTCCACTGTCCCTCAGACTTTGTGGGGGGCCAGACTATGTTTTGGATGGGGGGGAATGAATTCCTATGCCCCACAGATAACCCAGAGATGCATTTTAAATAAAAGCACACATTCTACTCATATGAAAACACTGATTCCCGGACCATCCGCGGGCTGGACTTAGAAGGCGATTGGGCTGGATCCGGCCCCCGGGCCTTAGTTTGCCTACCCATGCACTAGAGGCATTGTCTCATGGATATTTTGCCAAGATTGTTTGGGTCATGACAATAATTGGAAAAATGGTTTGGTCAGTCGCTTGCTAAAGGTCCCATTGAAACAAACTTTAGGTGGATTTTCTTTCGGTACTTGGTTTTCATATGAGCTATGGCAAAGATTTCTTCTTGCTTAACTCTTCCATTAAAATCAACGTTTACCTTTGCCCGGATTGTTCCATGACGTCAACTTTCCCATAAAATAGCATGGTGTTTAAAGTAAAGTTTGGTGCCCTGTTTGTGTCTACACCTGACTTCTGTATTTGGGAATGTAGTAGAACTCTTAGCAGAGTGATCTTGTGAAAGTGGTTATAGTTGTGGCTGCAAATTTGCCTAATTTCTAAAGCAAACAAAGTCACCAACCCTAAGGTGAGGGGCTGCAGTATGATCATTGCTCTATAACTATATGTGGAAAGTTAAGAGTCAGTTTGCCTGAATACAGGTGAGTCTGTAGCTTCTTGTTTTTAGTTGTCCGGTTGAGCCTTGCAGACAGGATAGTCTTGAGCAATACCTTTGCAGGCACTGAAGTGTTGTTCAGTGTAGCATGTGACATTTTTGCATATTTCAAGCTTCCTTTTCACTTTTGTGGTTTTCGATGAGTAAGACCAAGGGCAGCTACAATCATATTGCAAGTGGGATTTCGACCTGTGTGTGTGATCAAGATGGGGAGAGAAAGTAAATTAATTTATTATCAGAAAAGGCACACATTTCTCTGATGACCTTCGTTACCCTTGGAATTAAAATCTTCCTTTGCAAATACATAAACTTAGAGGAGGTTCTCCCTTCCACCAAAAGAGAGACTGTGAACAGGTAGGTGCTAGACATTAAGGGGTTAAGATTGAGTGTTTAGGGGGTGGGGTTAAGCTAATAGTATTTTTAAAAATGTAAAGGACTGCCAACAAAAAGAGGAAGGAAGGCAGCCAAAATTTGAAGAAAAGGAAGAAAAGTAACTTTGAATTATTTCTTATAAATATTATTATTTACCTGCCTTGCACCCTAAGGTCCCAGAGTAGATATAAATGTAAACATTAAAGTGAATTTGTTAATATTAAGAGATGTTTTGAAATTTAAGGTGTTCATGGAATCCCTTTTGGAGGTTTTTAGAAGGAGTTGGAAAGGCACCAAGAGGAGGTTTGGAAAGAGTTTGATATTGGATAATCCTGTCTTTAGACAGGTGTTGATGCAGCCCATCTGTTCAACAGTGGGTCTTTTGGAAGCGATTGTTTTCCATTTTCTATTTTAAAACATTTTAATGCGACACATTAATTTACAAAAACCCTGAGCAATTTAGAGTAGGCCATAAAATAAATAAATACATTAATCTTCAGCCAGGAATATATGTTTCATGATGAGCCATGCTCTTTTGTTTGCCTAAATCCTGAACTGAATTGCATATTCAGAAATATCATGTTTTACAGCCTGCCAGGGATTTATCTGACTTCAGATTGCAAGATAAAGGTCTTGTATCTTTAAAAGTTTGCCTTCACTTAAAACTCTGTGGAAAGTTAATAAATCAAGGAAAAGGCTAGATTAGAACCCGTTCCCATGAGATGCTAGCTTTCCATGTACAAAGAGTCTCTTTGGGGGATCATCCAAACATATGACAGACTGGAGTCTTGCACCTTATGATATTTCTGAAAATGTAATTTGGTCGTTTGCTTGGAAATATGAAGGTGCATTCCTGTGGTTGTACGTGCCTTCCTTGTTCACCTTTCAGTTGTTCTGGAAAAGCTGAAATTTTATGTTGAATTTCCTGACCCTGAAAATATTTGAGCAAGCAGTTCTGTGTGAGTAACTGGGCTGGTATAAAGATAAGCACGGCTGTGTTCGTGTGACATTGGATTCGACACATGGTGGCCTGGGGAGGTCCCTTGTGAGTCCTGTCACCGACTGAATGTATGTATAACCTTGAATGAGTCACGAGGTGTTTTGTTTTTTAAAAGCGTGATACCTCCCCCCAAAAATTATATCCCCTCCCCGTGCTGGGCAGACTGCTTGGTGTCCGAAAAGCTGGGATAGCGAACCTTTTTCAACCTGAGAGTCACACTTTTCTGGGGCCCACATGGCAGGGATGATTTGGGCCAGGAAGAAAATGTGAGTGGAGCAATAGGCATGATCCTCACCTTTCTAATGTATGTCATGTTCAAGCCATGCAAAAGCCAGAGGCCTCTATATATGCGCACAAACATGCACATCTCTTTGGGCAGGTGAGCAAGGGGGCATTGTCACAGTACAAAAACATACTTATTTATGGAAATTATTGGAGTGGTTTTAACAGATTACATATACAGTGGTACCTCTGGATGCAAATGGGATACGTTCCGGAGCCCTGTTCGCATCCAGAAGCGAATGCGACCCGGGTCGCAATTCGCTGCTTCTGCGCATGCGCGTGATGTCATTTTGACCATCTGCGCATGCGCGAGCAGCGAAACCCGGAAGTAACGTGCTCCGTTACTTCTGGGTCGCCGTAGCGCGCAACCCGAAAATACTTATCCCAAAGCTACTTTAACCCGAGGTATGACTATATGTATATAACTTTAATTTTGTCATTTTTTAAAAAAATGATTGGTTGTTTTGAGCTTTGAGCAGTTCTGATTGTAAGCCACCTTGAGTCCCATCAGGGAAAAAGTTGGGACACGAATTATTATTTATTATTATTATTTATTGAATGTATATAGGGCCTTATACCCGGGGGTCTCAGGGCGGTTCACAGAATAAAATCAAGATATAAAACCACAAAATACCTAATGAAAATTAAAAGAGCAACTCAATACCCCCCCACAAAAAAAAACATTTTAAAAGGGTATAGGATATAAATCAAATCAGGTTAAAAAGGAACATTTTTGCCTGCTGCCTAAAGGTGTGTAATGAAGGCGCCAAGTGATCTTCCCTGGGGAGAGCATTCCACAGACGGGGAGCCACTGCAGAGAAGGCCCATTCTTTTGTTGCCACCCTCTGGACCACTGAAGGAGGGCCTCAGAAGATGATCTCAGGGTCCAGGTAGGTTCATATGGAAAGAGGCGGTCCTTATTAATAATAATATTCCAACCAGGCAAAAGAACTTGAGGAGGTCATGGAGCAGAGCCAGTGCGGAAAGTGGTCTGGTGAGAAGGAATATGGTTTGCTGAGAGTCCTGAGGTCCAGACCTTTGGTTCAATTAAATGCATATTCAATTAAAAAAATTAAAAGTACATAAATATGGTTTGTGAGGCCTCTGTGTTCCGCAGGTGCATTTTATCTTGAGCTGAAAGATGTTAAGTAAATACAGGTTTGAATGGAAAACGTTTTAAGGAAATGCAGATGTTTAATCTGCAACAGTTTTAGGAGATAAGAAAGTGACTTCACGATGGCCTTATAAATGGACAAAAGATTGCTGCAAGCTGGGGCTTTCGTGCCTCCCCTTTCTTCATCCCCAGGGCCACATTGCAATATACTGTATTTCAGCCCAACATTCACTGTTAAACCCCCTTTTCTCTCTGGAACCCAATAGCACACAATCTCATGCCATGCATTCTTTTAGTTGTTCCCTTTCTTCCCGACTCCCCTCCCTCCTTTTACGCTAGTACAGTGGTACCTCGGGTTACATATGCTTCAGGTTACACACCCTTCAGGTTACAGACTCCGCTAACCCAGAAATATTACCTCAGGTTAAGAACTTTGCTTCAGGATGAGAACAGAAATCGTGCAGCGGTGGCGCAGAGGAAGCAGGAGGCCCCATTAGCTAAAGTGGTGCTTCAGGTTAAGAACAGTTTCAGGTTAAGAACGGACCTCCGGAATGAATTAAGTTCTTAATCCGAGGTACCACTGTACTGGCTGAGCTGACAGCATACAAGACTTACAGTCTCCCGGCAAATTCACATGTTAAGGGAATCGCAAATGCAGGAAACTTGTGCCATGTGGGTGACAGCCTGCAGCGGGCTTGGAAAAACTATTGCCAGTTCCTTTGCATGCCTTTGAATCCAGTGACAAGACAAGCAATTCAGACATGCAGACTTTAGCATTGTCTTAGAATCACAGAAGGAAGGGACCCTGACGATCATATAATCCAGCTCCCTGCAACTGCAGGAATATGTAGCTGTTCTGTACAGAGATCGAACTTGAAACTTTGGCATTAGGTAAAAAAAAAAAGGTAAAGGACCCCTGGACAGTTAAGTCCAGTCAAAGGCGACTATGGGGTTGTGACGCTCATCTTGCTTTTAGGCCGAAGGAGCCGGCGTTTGTCCACAGACAGCTTTCCAGGTCATGTGGCCAGCATGACTAAACCACTTCTGGCGCAGCGGGACACCGTGATGGAAACCAGAGCGCACAGAAACACAGTTTACCTTTCCTGCCGCAGTGGTACCTATTTATCTACTTGCACTGGTTTGCTTTCGAACTGCTAGGTGGGCAGGAGCTGGGACAGAGCAACGGGAGCTCGCCCTGCCCCATGGATTCGAACCGCCGACCTTCTGATCAGCAAGCCCAAGAGGCTCAGTGGTTTAGACCACAGCGCCAACTGCGTCATTATCAGCACCACACTGTAATTAACTGAGCTGTTCATGCTGGTGACAGATCTGTGGGGACTTACCTATTTTCCACCAAAGAAATAGTTCATGGGTAGGCAAACTAAGGCCTGGGGGCTGGATCCGGTCCAATCACCTTCGAAATCCGGCCTGTGGACGGTCCGGGAATCAGCGTGATTTTACATGAGTAGAATGTCCTTTTATTTAAAATGCATCTCTGGGTTATTTGTGGGGCATAGGAATTTGTTCACTCCCCCCCCCCCATATAGTCTGGTCCCCCACAAGGTCTGAGGGACAGTGGACCGGCCCCTGCTGAAGAAGTTTACTGACCCCTGATAATAGTTTAACACCCACCCACCTCCAGGTATCTGCAGATCCAAGTGTCTTACATTGTGTGGACATCTAGTTATATTCTGAGTAGCCTCCAAAATAATTTTGCCATCTAATATTGCAAGGGGAAGAAATGGAAGAGGAGGCAAGAGCCTGTACTGGTGCATGGCCTTACATTCTTAAATGAAAGACTCTTGCTGGATCATGTTTTCTCTCAGGTTTTTAGTCACAAGAACTACCTTTTTCCTTCTGAAGGAAGGTCTTCGTGTTTATAGTGCTCTTGCCACTCCCATAAGCAAAACAGTTGCTGTGTGTCCGAGAACGGTAATTAGTGAAACGACAATTAGGTACTCTGTGGAACTTTGTGAGCCTTTGCCTTGTGCATTTCAAAAATAAATCTAAAAGCTGTCTCAAGGGAGCAGGAAAAATGGTGCTTTTTCCCAAAATGCTATGATAGGAAGTATTTACTTTTTATTTGTTGAATTTACAAACTGCCCTTCATCTGAGGATCGCAGGGTGGTTTACAGTATAAAAACAGAAAAATACGTAATAGCAAACGAAACAAGATTGGTGCGTTTTAAATGTTCAAAGTGTTTCACATTAAGCTGTACACAGTACACAAACCACAATTCAGCCAAAGATTGCCGTTGAATGCAATCCTGTACATACTTAACTGGAGGTTATGTCCATTTCAACGCAATGGTATTAACATATTGTACCTCTGTGTGTACGTTGGTGTTGTTAAACACCAGCTTAACCTTCCCACTGTAACCAAGGGATCTCTTTGGCTGGATAAGGAATCAGAGTTCGAAATTAGCCAGGCGCTAGGCACATTTTGCACCTGGCTTTCAACCAGTGGTGACCAAGTTACCGTACCTCTCTCGCCCTGACCTAGTCACTGTGATCCACGCGACGGTCACCTCCAGACTGGATTATTGTAACTCGCTCTACGTGGGACTGCCCTTGAGACTGACCCAGAAACTCCAGTGGGTGCAGAATGCTGCAGCGAGACTCCTTACGGGGTCCTCGCTGCGAGATCACATTCACCCGGTGCTATACCAGCTGCACTGGTGGAGTACAGGATCAGGTTTAAAGTGCTGGTTTTAACCTTTAAAGCCCTATACGGCTTAGGACCCTTGTACCTATGGGACCGCCTCTCCTGGTATGTCCCACAGAGGAACTTACGATCTTCAAACAAAAACATCTTGGGGGTCCCAGGCCACAGAGAGATTAGGCTGGCCTCAACCAGAGCCAGGGCTTTTTCGGTTGTGGCTCTGATCTGGTGAAACGCTCTGCCACAAGAGACTAGGGCCCTGCGGGACTTGACATCTTTCCGCAGGGCCTGCAAGACAGAGCTGTTCCACCAAGCCTTTGGCCAGGGCACAGCCTGACTCCCTCCTTTGGCAATCTTCACAGAACTCTAGCCCAATGGTTGCCATCAATTTGATTTGAATTAATTTTATAATTAAATGATTTTAGAAAGTTGTATTATTTTATTGTTGTTAGCTGCCCTGAGCCCGGCTTTGGCTGGGGAGGGCGGGATATAAATAAAATTTTATTTATTTATTTATTTATTTATTTATTTATTTATTTATTTATTTATTAAGTGAAGATGCCTGGGTGTCAGGATAGCTCCTGACATCTCCACTATCAGGAGGTGCATGCCTGGGATTGGGACTGTTTTCACACAGTAATACCCCACCCTGTGGAATTCTATCAGTTATATTTTATCTGCACAATCGGAATGAATTTCTGGAATGAAAATGCTTTTTGGTGCAGCCTGAATGAGCAGGAACAGTCAAGATTAAGAAAAAAGACGTCAGAATAGGCCAATATAATACCGTGGTACCTCGGGTTACAAACACCTCGGGTTAAGAACTTTACCTCAGGATGAGAACAGGAATCTCATGCCAGTGGTGCGGCGGCGGCAGAAGGCCCATTAGCTAAAGTGGTACCTCAGGTTAAGAACGGTTTCAGGTTAAGAACGGACCTCTGGAACGAATTAAGTTCACAACCAGAGGTACCACTCTTATGTGGACTGTCCCTGGGTCAAGTGACTTTTCTTAAAGTTCTCAGAGCTCAAGGTTGTCCTCTGAACTTGTGGAATGTTTAACTGAGAACCAGTCACAGTTAGTCCATCATTTGAAAAATAAGACTTTGCTAAAAAATGGGAACTAGACATTCTCTTTTGGTGACCGCAGCCTTGGTTTCAGGAGCCATTTGGCACCCAAGTAATATACCTGAGTTTCTAACACTGCTTCTTCTTGCTTTTGGGCTTGGCTTGTGAAATACAGTGCTCATTGATCCATACTTGCTTACTAATGAAAGTTACTCACCTGAGGCAAGTGGCTACACTTTTAGAACGTGGCGGTGGTATTTCAGTATAAATGTTAATTTGCAGTTTCTGAGTGTGGCTTTGATGTCAGTTAATATCTTTTAGGCCTTCTAACATGTTGATATTACTTTAAAAGATCAGTGTATGGATATATATATATATAGCATCTTGCCTTTAATCTTCATCCAAAGTCCCACTGCCAAGTATAAACATTTTTCTTTCCTCAAATCGAGGTAAGGCAGTGAGGCATTGAACTTCAGAGCCACAACATTCAGACAGCATGATATAATTGCCCTTGGGCGTAATTTTTCTACCGGCGAAGGTCTCCACTTCTCTTGTCCCGTTTCCACTCATTTCAGTCGGGCTTGTGCAGGAGCAATTTCTAGTGGATTGTATTCCTTAAAATGAGCAGATTGTGTATGGATATCCTATGCTAACGTAAGAGGGAGAAAGGATCGTGGTTTGGGGGCAGAAGGCGATGCATACCTAGATCCAAAATACAGTGGTACCTCCGATTAAGAACTTAATTCGTTCTGGAGGTCCGTTCTTAACCTGAAACCGTTCTTAACCTGAGGTACCACTTTAGCTAATGGGGCCTCCCACTGCCGCCGCGCCACCTCTGAGCTATTTCTGTTCTCATCCTGAAGCAAAGTTCTTAACCTGAGGTACTATTTCTGGGTTACAGTGGTACCTCAGATTAAGTACTTAATTCATTCTGGAGGTCCGTTCTTAACCTGAAACTGTTCTTAACCTGAAGCACCACTTTAGCTAATGGGGCCTTCTGCTGCCGCCGCGCCGCTGGAGCACGATTTCTATTCTCATCCTGAAGCAAAGTTCTTAACCTGAAGCACTATTTCTGGGTTAGCGGAGTCTGTAACCTGAAGCGTCTGTAACCTGAGGTACCACTGTAGTGGAGTCTGTAACCTGAAGCGTCTGTAACCCGAGGTACCACTGTATGTTGCATTTAGCCATACTTTATATTGGTAGCCTTTCCATTAAAGTCAAGAGAGCTAATGCAGTATGTAAAAGCTATAATACTGTTCTGTTAAATGGCATACCCTGAGCCAACCCTGTCCCTGCTCTTGGGCGATTGCTAATCCTACTGATTTCTAGTGTCAGTATCCTACCAGTTGCTTGGGCTTATGACCCCAGCACTGCTACTGGCTAGATTTTGAAGAGCGAGTCACTCGCTGACTGTACTGCACCATCATCCTAATGGTTTCTGTGGGGACTTCCCAGCTCAATTCCAAACCTTCAGTGAATCATGCTCCCTTCATCCTGCTTTCTTCCTTCTACAGCGAAAGTCTGAGAGTGTTCACTTCACAGTCGAGTTACTGTTTTGTGGCCCATAAAACGTTTCTTAATTCCTTTCAGTAATTGCAATAGCTGTGGCTTTTTTACATGAGGGTCTTTGGCAGCCTCTCTAATTTGTTGTTTTGTTTTTTTACTCCGGGGATTTATAACGCCGTTA